GTTGGGCAAAACCAAATGGTGTCAGCAACTTGGTTTGTCTGTCTTCTTGGACTTATTTGCCTACATATTGAGGACAGTACGATCTACTGCAGCTAGAACAGGTAATGCTTATCTAAAGTCTTTACTGAAATTGTCTGCGCAACCTAGGCGACGTGGAACCATTGGGTTGCTAGTCGTCCTCGAATTGTTTACAGCACTGCCTCTCAAAGAGCTCACCTTGATGTGTGTTCTTTGCGCTAAGGGTGACACACGAATAGGTCGGAACACGCACACGAATTGAGAGTTGTTCAAGGTCAGGCGGTAGATGCAGACGGAGGTCAGAACGCGCAGACTGTCGGGTTCAGCGATCAATCGACTGGCAATTGGACACGCAGACACACAAAGCGGCAGCGTGTGTTAATCGGCCTGCCTTAAGCGACGATGCAGGTGGAGCGTTGATAAGCCTCCCTAAACCTGTTTAGTTGATGAGCGGAGCAAAATGGCTGTAGCTTTGTTATGTTGCAAGTTGCAGAGATGGTTACCACGTAGTTTGGGAGCCATCAGCTCCTTCTTCCGAATGAGATCAAAATATTTTCCGAAAATCTGGTTTGATGTTGTTACGCAACCGGAATTCGGCAAAGGATATTCCGAAAACTGGTACTTGGAGCAAGAGTATAATCCGCACAGGTTAAATCCAAGACCTGGAAAACACTGAGTATAGCTCGTGGATCAGGTTCGAACAAGCGCACGCACAATATTGTGTGGGGAGAGTTAGAGAGACCACAGAGGGCAAAGCGAGAGCCGCGTTAAATTGCGGCCGCACTGGAATTTGTCTAGTTGTGTAAAAGTACACATCATATTGAGGTTCCTCACTAAGCTATTCCACATAGCAGATAAAGCAGAAAAAGACGACTGCCTGATCAATGTGAATCAACGAGCCGTCTACAACCGATACACCAACTAAATGCTCATCGTTCGTAAACACAAGCTCAAGCACAGGTGCCCTGTATCGCCCGTTGACTGGAGTGAATAAAATAACTCGACTGTAAAGCACAGCTTTTGTGCCGATTTAGTGCAGATCGTCTATATTCGGCGGAGTTTTCTAAACGGTGCACAAACACTTCACTCATGAAAATGAGATGCTTGCATTCATGGCTCATAGTGTATTGTATAGCGCTTGTTGGATTACAGTCGATTTCAGGTGTCAAGTTTGGAAGCTATGCACCAGAGCTATAAGGAGGATGTATATGCCTTTTGATTACAGGTGCGACTAAAATGAATCAGGAAACTGTGTGCCTGAATCTTCCACCGATACGGGCTGCAGACTACATCGGTAATGCACACGTAGCCCTGATCCGTTTGTAACCTTGTCCTTTCGGATGCGTGATATGTCTTACAGCGGAAATATAGCGTACATTATTCTACCTTATAATGCGTTCTCATGCAAACCGATGAGAACCAATAGCTTAGTCATATAGCGATGTCTCAGTCCGGTCAGGCTATTGCAACAGCCTTGAACAATGTTATAGATGCAGCAGTGAAACACAGCAAAATCGCAAAAACAGGAAACAAATCAACTTAACCAAGTGTTTAGAGACAACGGTTATCTGAACAATTTCATCAGAAGAAGCTTAGAAGAACGAATGTCTCAGCACCAGCAGTAGCATTCACCTGAGCAAGCGAAAGGACGGACAGTCTTTGCCTACACCAACAATATCACTGAACTAACATTACGATAGCTGCAGTCAAATGGAATATCTGTGGCTCACAAACTAAGTGTTACCCACAAGTTATTGTTCTCAGAACCCAAAGAGAAGGTCAATCAGGCCAAACAATGTAATGTCATCCACTAGATAAAGTGCAGCGACTGTGATAAAACGTATGCCGGACAAAGTGAAAGAAAGCTTTGTACACGAATCCCCAAACACTGGGCTGTGGTCAAAAGACATGATCCGTATTCATTGCTTTTTGCGCATGAAGTTAAAGAAGGGCACCATTATGATCTGGTTAATGTAAAAATCCCAACACATTGAAGTACAAAACACGCGAAGTTTTTGGAAGCCTGGTACTTAACAACAAATTCAATCAATCAACACTTTGAACAGGATGTAGTATACGTAAAACAACTATCAAACGATCGCCAACGCGATCGATTGAATCCGTTGGAACGGGTGACTAGACAACCAGAATTGACGACAGACTCGCTCAAAAAAGCAAACAGACAAAGGCCACGGAACACAAGGGGTCAAGGTCAAAGGGATACTGCCCATTAATCAAGCTGAACGCGGCTCGTAGTACCAACCAATTTGATTACTCTTCTCCGCGGACATCCACGGCGGTATAAAAACGCACGCACATCATGTTCAGCGCATTCCCACCGAGGCTCCTTTACCCTACTCTACGCTACAACACGCAACTCAACTACACACTGATCATGTCACCTGCATTGGTGACGAAAGGTTTACGACAACATTGCCAAGCTAAGCGAATAGTTTAACTGCCAACTGCAGCACAGTTTCTCAGTATTTAATGCCCAAACGGGAGCTAAATAAATCAGTTACAAAAGAATGCTGATAAATGGAACCTCGGTCCTAATTCATTTATTTTGATAGGATAATCACGCATTGTCCTCAGCATAATTTGTCCAAGGTACGGTGGGTTATTTGTCAGGGCCCATGAAGGAACTTCGTATAGAGAATCCAAGTAAAAGTTTTTTGTAATCTCACACGGCTTCGCTTTTTCATAGGGGTTCATGTCCGGTCCTTGCAAGGTTTCTACAGCTTTAAACTGTGGCCTTGACGGAAGACCTTGCCGATTTTCTTGCCGATTTTCTAACATTTCCTTTACGGTTTTCTCTGACTAAACCAATGTTTGGCCTGTGTCCAGAATCTTGCTTCCCGATCTCTTGTCTAGTGCGCGAAGTAACCTGTGGAACGCCATGGATAAAGAACGTATGTACGCGATCCCGCTTACAGCATATTTCCTATATATTTTCAACTATTGTGCGCTTTACGGGAAGTCGTAATTGATGTCTTACGCACAGCAGCTCTGCTGTAACGCACTTGCAGACTGTGCTAAGTCTCCTACCTTAGTGGAGCATGCAACCGTGTTCCTAATAAAATGTGTTCAACATATTGCGCAGAGTTCTGTCAAATAGCTATTTGTACAAGTCTTGTGAGTTTGGCTTTCACGTTCATCAAAATGCACGAATAGTTCGCTGGCCTTAGTTGTTAGACAAGCTACTCGGCAATGTGTTGTTGGTAGGTTCTGGCACACTTGAGCTTAAAACAGTTAGTGATTTATTGTAGGATCCTTTGTTGTTGAGCTGCAAGTCCGGGTGTTCATTGGTCCTGGCTCTAGGCCAAGTATTATTGGTCTACAATTTGTATCTTTTCTCGTCAGAGACCATAATTATAATAACCTAGATGAACTTTGCAGCGATCTATGCCTATGTGCGTAAATTCCCAGCGTTTGTGAACTCGACCATTAGAACTTGAATTGTGGATCAAAGAATCGTGTTCAGGTAAGCCATCCTCGCTTAGGATACAACTTGTTAGAACCATTGGAACTGATAGATGCACTTTTTGGGAGGCGGCTGAGCTTCTTTATCATGAATACCGCTTGTGTGTCAGAGCTTCGGTCTGTTTCCACCTGACGTTCTGTCATTATTTGAAGGATATTACGGCGATGGAAACTATGCTGCTCTTCGTTCCGGTAAGGAAAACTGTGCACAATTGTTTTGCTTAGAGCGCACAACGCTCTTCTGATGCACATTGGTTCCAAATACATTAATATTAGCGTTCGTTCGCCGTTCAACTTCCGCTAAGAACTATACGCAAATACAAGAAATGATAAGCATGCACTTGACAATTACAATGGTCCGATATGCAATACAAAATTTTAGGCCGTCTAGGGAACTGTTCCGAATTCTTACCACTATTGCGAAATATTTGCACACTTCGGATTACCCTATTTGAAACGGCGTGAGCAGGCTAACTCTAGGTTAGATATCGATTGAATTCTCCCGACCCGAACCCACCCTTAGTATGAAGTAATTTTGGTTTCGCATTTAATTGCCAACTGCTACTTATCATGGTGGGGTCAATTCCTCATTGCGAAGGGTAATGTTGTGTGTATTCCATTTTGGTCTGTTGTACAGGTCCGTCATATATATATATATTTATTTATTTATTACTTAAAGGAATAAATATGTGCTGGATTATGTTGAACTTACATCATCATTCTGCTGCACATAATGAGAAAGAGTATAGTATACACGCATTTTGCTGAAAAAATTATTTTAACAATTACACGATTTTTGTTCACCTTGAATTAGCACATAAAGACTGAGTTTTAATGTAATACTTGATTACGCATATTAACGTGGGGCAATTATGGGTATAAGTTGCAAGTTAGTGAGCTCGTAACCAATTCCTGTGTTTCGCTTTTCTAAGTCCCCTTTTGTTAACGTGTTGGTGTCCACTTCATCTGACTCCAACTGCATCATAAAATCCGCTTTCAAATACCCTCGGTCTGGGCCGGTTACAACGCAAGTAAAGTTCATGTATCCCGGTAATTTCAAAGTATTCGCCATCTCTTCATACTAGTAATAAAAGTGATCAAATGGCGAAAGTATCATATATGCATTAGCACGGTAAAACCACAAAAAGTGAAATTGCTACTTTGACAGCATCTATTGTACGTGGAAATTTATGATAAATTGCTTTTTTGTCACATTTTCTTGTTGCGTTGTCTACAAATCACCTGGCTCCCACAGTGGATACTCGTAGGCCAATAAATGCATGAGATCTTACTCCTGTGTTACAGTCAAGGACTCATAAAACCGTATATGCCGAGTCTGTCCGACGAACGTCAATTCAATGATCAACCGTACATCAACCGACAGTATAAACTCAATGATGTAATGACAAAGGCTATAACTTTTAAATTAAACAAGTGGGTAAGTGTACTGTCCACTTGGTCCATAAACTGCCAAATATAACCCAGTCTGTTCTGCGAATTTAGGATGGTTTGCTGAACAATTCCTCGAGTATTGCCACTTTTCCGACAAACTGTAGAAATAAAAGCAAAGTTACGTGGGATAGAACACTCCCCACATATGGTGATTTCGGATCAGTTGCGCATGGAGTTTGTATTATTTGCAAGTTAAATGTGCATTATCGCGTAATGGTTTACAGTGGCTCAATTACTCTATTTGGCCACTGTCGTCTTCCAATCATCAAGAGTCACAACAATGAGTGCCGCAGCGAAATCTGTGTATGAATAAACTCAAAACGTTTGCTTACTTTCAAGCAGGCCGTCTCTGCAATATGCAAAACCTCAGTCGCGCTGCCATATACGCTGCGCCATTCGCCCGTTAAATCATCTCCGACGATTCCCATGGCAATTCGGATGGCTAAATTAGTTTGACAATATCGACAATTCGAAAGTTACAAGCATACTAAATTTCACGTAAAACGGTGCATGTTACCTTTATGGTGCCATGAATAGTCTTGTTTGGCAATGGTTAATGAGCAGTTGTTTTGTGGACTATTGTGTTTTACTCAGTAACCATCCATGGTGGTGTACCATGCTTAAAACCTTTGTCAAAAGCGCTGTGTTTGGCCAATATGTTTTAGTGCTAATAGGGTATTCACACTAGCAGTACGAGCCATCATACGACATGCAATCGCAAGGGAATTCAAGTGCATTGTACGGCTGACACTAATGAAGGATGCGGGATTTGTTGCTTAAGTTTGTCGTGCCAGTTCACACGGACTAACTTCAGTCCGGTTGCGACCGTAGTGATATATCTTTTAGTCTAGAAGCGAGATTACATGGGGAGAAGTGATCTAGCTGCCATTGATTTCTGCGGATCTCTTATTGTAGAGCAACTTACTTGCGTACCAGTAACCGATGACAACCTCTGGAAAACAGTAAAGGTTAGCAGCTAGGTGGCCAAAAGTAGACAAATGCAAAAGTATATGGAACTATAACTTCATATTAGCCTCATGTATGTCCTGAGAATCCCTTTAATTAATTTTTTCTAATATAGTGGCAGATAACAGTGCAATACCCGGTAAATCGATAAACTGAATCAATACTGACTGAAACACAATAGTTTAACTAAGATATTTAGCGTGACAGCAGATGCATGGCTGTAGAAATTTTATTGCAACCATGAGGACAAATTTACCGAATTGTCGTTGCAGCTTTAAGCCCGGGATGTACGTGTCATATCTCCGTCTTTCATATAGGGCAAATAAATCCCTTACGAAATTATGTACTTTAACAGATCCTTTATTCGCTATGCTGATATTGACGTGATTCTGCTTTGGATGGGCAAATAATGAAGAAAAGATACATCCGACCATATCGTATGGCACGCCTGTCATGGATGTAATTGAGGCCCGAAGCTGAAATCCCATGGTAAACAACGCGTTTTAATGGGTACTTGGATTGGAATGATTAGCCAGAACACATTTTATCACTCATAGACCAAAATTCCAGACATAAGGTCAGTTTATGTGTCACGATGATAGATTAGTCTTAACGATTCGGATAAGGTAAGATTTTGGTATCTAGTTTTTACGTTAATGTGACTAGTATGCGGCCGTAGACAAAAACGTAACGTTATAATGTTTACCCTGATGCAGACATCTTCAACATGTCTAGATGATTCATTGTTTTCCAATTCCGTTTTATTTGTAAATGGTATCGGATTGCCATCCCTCAGTAGTATTCCTGTTATCAGTATGACTATTAGCACAAGCGGAAATGAAGTACTTGTTAAAAAATGCACTATTTCCTTAGGAACTCTTGTAGACGAGTTTTGGTTAGATAGGCAAGCAAAGTTTGCACCGGTAGTTCTGTTTTTACTATAGAAAGTTTATTAAATTTTCCATGAAATTTTGAAGTAAATAATGACTTAGACACAACGGACGCAGTTGAGAATTTACAATCAGCAGTGGGTTTGTACGGATCAATCAAAGACATCCACTTTACTGAGATGAACTCACCATGTTGGCGCACCAGTTCGCATGGCGCAAACGTAATTGCTGTTGAAAGAAAACGGTAGCGTCGATGAAGAGTACGTTGTGAAATCGATTGACCCAAGTGGTTCTGAACTTATTTAAGCCAGAATGCTTAAGTAACTTGCCTAGACCATTGTATCGCATTCTCTAACACGAGTCATTTTGAATATTATGCACTCAACTCTGCAGGAATTTCGACTAGCCTAGCGGCTGTTTCGACAATCAGTATTTAAAGATTTACTTGAAAAGCATCTAAGCGTTTTGCACTTAAGCTGTCTGAGACCATTCCACACTGAATTCGGCAACTGATTCTAGCAGTACCTTTGCGCTTGGTAGGAAAAAGGGAACTTGTCAATGTGTCCATTTCGCTTAGGCTTGGCATCCATATGTCCTCCGCATTAATTTTATGCGCGGCACATTTAGAGAAAGGCACAAGGTCTAATCGTATAAACCGTCTATTTAGATAGTTTAGCTAATTCATCAACGTCACTCCAAATGAGGTTTATTCAACAACACATATTCGTCTGCCTACTACAAATAACTAGACTAAGTTTTTCCCATGAGTCCCCAAAAAGTACTGATAAAATTAGCTAATTCTGATTAAGACTAGTAGTTTGGTACCTATCGGACAGGTTTAGATAATACATATGAACAAAACTGTTTCGTGGGGAAAACTACCACTGAATAAAGTATGGAAAGTTAAAGTGCACGGTCATTTCATGACCTACCCAACAGCAGCAACAAGCATTTTGACGTTAACATTACAGCGAATAAAGGATCTAGCATATTGATGCGTGTCTAATTTATACACCAGCCAAATCGCTCTTTTCAGACAGTGGACGTTGTTAGTTAGAGGAGGTGTGTCGCATACAACAGAATTAGTTCGATATCTGTGCAGCGATTGGGTAGCCGACAAGCAATATTTTGTACATCCGTATTAGGAACGCTAATTGGATTGACGGCGGAGGAACTGTGAAGTTTATTGGCGCTTAACGGAACATACTTAGGTCCGTATTAACCCGGTTGGTCCGAGAGAGCTGTAGGATAAGCATCTGTACGGAACAGCTACACACGCACCTATCATATACTAGCATATGCGGTAGCAGTGTGGGCTGTGTTTATGCCTCGGCTGCGCGAAACACCACGCTTCAGGTTAAGGAGCTGATAATTATTTCTTTTACCATATTTCATGATCAGCTGTCTACCGATGACTACTGTCCCTGTGCTAGCAGTACAATTAGTGTATGTCACTTTAATAGAGAAAGATAGAAAAAGTACTATTATGCATATACTACTACTAATTGCCGAGTATCCCGCGTGGCCATCCCTAAGGAACACTGCGTCAAAGCACTGCTGCGTGAACAATTACCAGGACAGAAATACTTGTGTTTTGGAACCTTGCTCGCGATCACTAGAACTGGTACCTGCGCCATCTGCTCTGCTTCGATCTGCATCTGCTTGCCAAAACCTGTTAATCCTAACTTTCGCTGCAGTCCATAGTTTTAACATAAACGAAGCTGCATATCCCAATCCATCGATCTACGAAACTTGCCACGTATACCACTTTTAACTTTCATCCGTTCATTCCTACATTCGAATATAACATTGTAGTGACAATTGCCCATTAAAATCACCCGGGAGCATCGAAACACACGTGCGGTGTAAAACAAAATCGCTATTGCATGTGTTTATATTATCCAATTTAAAAGCCTGCGTTATCCAGCGCACGGGTCATGTGTTTTGTGATCTGTCTGTATATTTCAGGTACAGGGGTTTGCCTACTTAACCCGTACTTGTAAAGACACGGTTGTTTCCGTATTGAGTAATATGGTTGATGCATTTGTTGATTACATTTTAATATATATTTGAGTAATACCATAGTTCACTTTTGGCTTTGTTTTGGTTTGATTCCGACGTTCTATGAGCTGCTCGATTCCCAGGATTGCACCTACTCGAAAAGGAAATTTTATATTTCAGCGGTTAAGTAACACAACAAGGTGTAAAGTAGTGAGGATAAACCACACTGACTACTTCTGTATCCGTTCCTCTGTCACAACGTGAAAAACAATCTAATGCGAAGCATATTGACAAAGTGGAGTGACACTTGTTCTGGTGTATCGTCTGGACACTACACTGCTCTGTTAAAAGAATTTACATTTCCTGGGGTTGACGTGGAGAGTGCATCGGGATATACCACGCAGTAATACGCAGTATGGAGGATGAATTTTAGTGAATATATTCAGGGTTGTTTGGAAACAAACGTCACCGAAAATTTACAGAAGCCTACATATGTTCATCTGGTACTTGATTAAAGTACAACCAGTGGTTTGCATGGCCAAGGTATGCTTGTGTTTTGGTTAGGGGATGGAGCAACTCAAATGCTCAATGCGGCTATTCTAGATGTATGTGTTGATTCAATGCAGTCACTTCCTTCAGAAATTGGAATTTGCGATGGAAACACAAGAGACAGAAGAGGCGTGTATTTCTATTTGCCTCCATATTACAATTAACTATAATCGACATGCAACTTGCTAAATAGATTGGGGCGACAAGCCAGGCCTTAGGAATAAATTTAAACTGTGGACAGTAATTTGTTTTAGTAGAGGAGCCAATTGAATGGGCAGATCTTTCAGGCCTTAAGACTCGGAGCAGAACTTATGCGCCAAGATGGTTTTGGCGTGTAACTGTCCAGACACCCTCCCTCAGTTAAATTCACTTCGCTGTAACCGGTGTCCATTTCAGCATCAAGACTACAGTTGTTTGGCGCAAAAGCGGAAATCACAAACAAACAACTAATTCCAAGTTAGCTGTTGTCGTCAAACGGATTCGTACAAACGGATGCTTAAGGGAAGCTAATCAACCGGTGATAACTCGGCCTCGGATTGGCAATCAATGTCAACCACAGTTTGATTAGTCATTACCACATCGGCGCCTCCGGTTGCATGCAACCGATAGCAAGAGGATAAGTCAGGCATTGTTAGTTCAACTACCATATGAGGGCCATTAATTCAAATTTCGTTTACGCATCGCGCTAAATACTTAAGGTATACAACGACTGTGCGAATACTTCCTGTTGACCAACTTGTCTTGGGATGCTGATAGAACATCAATATGGAAACCGTTGCAACGTAGATCTTGCCTCTGCAATTTTCGTTACGAACGCAGCCAGAAAAATGAACAGAAGACCGAGACATGTCATGCCGAATTGCATTAGGAACAGAACACATTTAATTTTAAGTCACCTCCAACTGCACACTTCTGGGCTTATTTACGTCACTCGTCCAGGCAGACACAAAACTGCTAGCGGTCTCCACTGGCCAGCAAATGTCGTGCTCAGGCGGCCTGGTAGCAACCCGTGACATGATGACGGACAGACTTCTTCAGACTTGCGGCAAGCCAACTTCACATCTTGAAACCGTTATACGGAGCTCTTTTGCTGCGGCCGCCTAATATCTCCCTGTTCGATTTAAGTCTGCTTGCGAAGCGTTTTCATTCGACTTTGTTCATGATTTTTGAAATTTGGTCAAATTGAGGCCATTATAACCATCTCCGCATTCGGGACGTCCTGCAATGTGCATCATTTGTTACTAGCAGCTCTTGTTGTGGTCTACGTAGCCGTTCCATCTCGTCTTCAAAATCAAGCTTTTCTAGCAGATGGTTACACGTTAGAGATGATGTTTCTGGGGACTTTGAGTCTTGCCGTCATTCGGCCTCAGCTGTTTGGCGTGCCTGAAGCATTTCCCATTTCCCACCATCAGGTTATAGATAACCTGACCATTGTTACTAAACGCCCTTCCGACGACCAACTCTTTGGTCCTCGGAAGTCTAGCGTATAAACAATGTCCCCAAATTCTAAATGACGGACATTCCCAGGCCGATTTTCCTGCGCATGAAATTTGTAATACTTTTCTTTCTCTGCTTTTGGCACAGAGCCCCTTATTTCAAACAGAAGTTTAGGGACTTGCTTGAGGTTCATGACAGCACTGCTTATTCTGTAACATTCGAGACCAGTTTGGAGCATTGCTTCTTGGCGTCTTTTTCTCTTTGTAATCTGACATTGTATCCCAGAGCTTGAAAACGATAGCTGTGACAATCGGTTTACTTTGCTATACATGGCATACGCTATTTAATAGCTTATCAAGCAATTTTATTTCATCTATCTAGTTGAGTCCCAGCCAATCTAAAATACCTCCATATGCCACGAATCAAATTGTGTGGAAGTGTCCGTTCCAAAAATCGACCTGAGTGTGCAATTAACCAGTTCGTTTTAACCTACCATCTGATGTATTCCGTGCATTATGGGCGGTTTGGACGAGTATGGCTACCCCCGCTTGAGCCTCATATCGCGAAAGATCAGATGGACATCTGAAGAATTATCAGTTTGTAAGTTGACTAGCCTGTCATTGACCTCCACCATGGTGTACTTAGGCCAGTTGAGGAGATCAACCTTGAAAGTCGTCGTGATCGATCTGATCCCATTCGGCCGTCTGGAAGATTTTACGTTGTTGCGCTTCCTCCTAGTCATGGCAGAACCACATACCAAACAACACAGCTATTTTGACAATTTCTGCCGAATCGATAACAAATGTAGTTCCTTAATAGACAATGTCTAGTTAAATGTCATTCCCTACAAAACCAACAAGCAGGAGTTTTGTAAGGTGATAGACTTACGTGAGTTCCTAATTAATGAAGAGTCCAGTTTACTGCATAAATAAAGTATACTAGTTCGTATTGAACAACCAGCGAATTATTGTGGTATCGTACTTCGTACTTCATCATTCTTTGACACTCACCAGTCACTTGCTGCACTATGATGTCAGGGTTCTGTACGAAGAGGCGCAGTATTCTTGTTCGAATGTCTGTATCTTTTGCTGCTTGTATGCAGCAAATCTTAAGGCGACACTTGTAATGGTCACCGGTTACCTTGTGTAACATTGTGGTCTTTTGCACTCGCTATATAAAATGCTTGAATGACTGACCCAGTCATCGTAGTCTTACTTGGTTTCGGTCAGACACTGACAAGGAAGGTTGAACAGCAATTTTGTAACAAGGCCGCAACCACTTCATTAACCGACAGGTCAAGACTCTTATTTGACAGCACGAAATTTGTTAAACTACCATCTTTAGCAGCCCCTGCTTCTAAAGTATAAGGCGAATTTTCTTCTCCTTTGAGACGTTGACCAAATCGACACGGAATATTTATTTATGCGTTTTGAAACCGAGGAGTGAAACTTACACCCACTTCAGGATCCAAATGAAATTTATCGCTTTTCTTAGTCAGGGTTTAGGAAAAGGCGACCCTTTCACAAGCCACTAAATATGGGCAATGTGATATCGAAAACTGCTTCGTCAACTTCACAATAAGCTTCGCCTGCCTCTGTTTGAAAGTCATTTGCAGTTACTGCAAAAGCGCGTGCCACTGTTCAAAACAGACTATCATTACAGTGTTTTGATTGAAAATAACCGCCGCCACAATTGTAACCCAATCCTGGTATCTGCTCTCTGTGTTGCAAACTCAGCTGCAAAAATGAACAGAGGACCGAAACGTGTCAAAATGAAGTGTGTTATGAATAGAACAAAGTTACTTTTATAGGTCCCAAGCCATCACCTCAGGCTGCCTGTTTCTGGACTGACTCACGTCACGCTTCTAGACAGACACAAAGCTGCTAGTGGACTCCACTGGCGAGCAATAGCCGTGCTCACGGTGGCGGCGTAGCCACCCCCGTCAGGACGACGGACAGATTTCTTCAGCTTTGAGAGTG